TGCTTCTTAGTCATATCGGGATAAACAATATACAAAATGCTAAAAAAAAATTGTAAATTAAAGGCAATGGCTATTGTTACATTACATTTGATTGGAGGTTATTTTGTGTATACATTGATTAGGAACAATAATATCCAATCTAAATTACATCTTTAAGACTGGTGTGAAAATAGCCACTGCCTAAATTATACAATTTTCTTAGGTTGCATTTGTGCATATTACAGATTACTAAAAAATCCAAGAGTATATTCTGCTTAGTGGAAAAAGATTTTCAGAGTAGTGAGAGTCATGATGAGAGTGGAATGAGGGCGCCATCTATGGTTTGGTACACATTTATAATTTAACAAAAAGGTACACTACACAATTGCTTTAACCAGAGAAAATCTACAGTAGTTTTATCAGATGTATAATCATTAATTATTCTTTAAAAAGAAACTACAACTGTATTAATGTAACTTGCATAGACGTAACTTGCAAAGTGCAGTACATATATCACTATCAGTGGAATGTTACATAATGAACAATATAACTGATGGGTCTATTCATGTTCACAGAGGTTACACACTTGCTTTAATTATAAAATGATCAACAGTCGTTAATCAGAAGTATATTATTCATTAATTATTCTTTTAATATAAACTACACATGTAATGTGACTTGCAAATTGTATTTATTTACTGTACAGTATAAACATATGCCATATATTTTTTCCATATTTATACTGGTCACTTTTCTTATTATATTTTGGATGTTTGTGTATAAGTATAACAATATAACTGATGGGTCTATTCATGTTCACAGAGGTACACACTTGCTTTAATAATAAAATACTAATCAACAGTCGTTAATAAGAATATATTCAATAATTATTCTTTAAATATCATAACTACACATGTAACATGCAAATTGTATTTATTTACTGTACAGTAATAATAATAATAATAATAATAATAATTAATATTATAATTCCTTATTTGTCTCCAAATGTAATAAAAAATGTATAAATAATAATAATAGTAATAATAATAATTATTATTATTCTTTATTTGTCTCCAAATGTAATAAACAATGTATAAATAATAATAATAATAATAATAAATATTATTATTATTATTCTTTATTTGTCTCCAAATGTAATAAACAATGTACAAATTTTGGCTCTGTCCAAGGGGACCCGTGTCAGCCACAATGCAGCACTACTCGACTTCAACATACAACAGATACACAGTGTAACCAATGTAGATCTTGATGGAAAGATAATTGTTCTGGATTTTTTGGTATGTAAAGCCATATATATTTCTGGGTCTAGGATTGACGATAAATTTCGGTAGTGCCCTTGTTTATTTCCATAATACATCCATAATTAGGCACAATTTCTTTAGGTACTGTACTACACATAACTTGAGAACTATATGCAGTTACACTATCTTTATTTTACATGTAGAGATTCCAAGATGACTGACATTGGGATAATCTGACTCTCATATGCACCCTTTCCCTCGACACCTACAATACTGATTCAACAAACCTTTCTAAACAATCTTCTGTAAGAGAATAATCACGCCATTGGAAGGTATTGTTATATACTATAAAACCTCACTAGTGCACGAAATGATTTTACATCAATATCTGAAAGGTCATTTTTCTTTAAATTAAACATTTTGCTTTTCAATGCTACTTTCATCCTACAGCATTCTTCCATCATTTCTTTAACAATACTACCTGATAAACTACAATATTTCATGTCAATATATCTCAGCTTTGGAGAGATCTTCAACAGGCAAGCTAATGTTTTACCACTGATTGAAGATAGGTTAATCCCTCTCAAATTTATCCTTTCCCAAATTAACTTTATATTTTCACCTATTGATTCAACCAGCTTTTCAAGGTTATCAACTGTAAGAGAATAATCACTCCAAGTGAAAAATTTATAACACTTACCAATTACCCTGATTAACTCAGCCAGTGATTTACCACCAATATCTGAAAGGTTATTGTCTTTCAGTGTTAGGGCACTTTCTTTAAATACTACATTCATCCTACTACATTCCTCCATCATTTCATTAACAATTCTGCCTGATAAACTGCAATCACTCATGTCAATATGGATCAAGGCTAGGGAGATCTTAAACAGGCGAGCTAATGTTTTACCACTGACTGAAGACAGGTTAATTCCACTCAAATTTATATTTTTCCAAATCAATGTTGTATTTTCACCAGCTGATTCAACCAGCTTTTCTAGGTTATCAAGTGTAAGAGAAAAATCACTCCAAGTGAAAGATTCATAACACTCGATTACCCTGATTAACTCTGCAAGTGATTTACCATCAATATCTGAAAGGTTATTGCCTTTCAGTGTTAGGACACTTTCTTTCAATACTACATTCATCCTACTACATTCCTCCATCATTTCATTAACAATTCTGCCTGATAAACTGCAATCTCTCATGTAAATATGGGTCAAGGCTGGGGAGATCTTCAAAAGGCAAGCTAATGCTTTACAACTGACTGAAGACAGATTAATCCCATTCAAATTTAAAATTCTCCAATATATATTTTCACCTACAGATTCAACCAGATTTTCTAGGTTATCAGCTGTAAGAAAATCACGGGGACTAATATTTTCAACATACTGAAAAATCATGTTGATTATTTGTACAAATGATTTACCATCAACATCTGAAAGGTTAATGTCTTCCAGTACAAGCTTGCAGTCTTTCACAACTAAAATCATCCTACCACATTTCTTTGTCATTTCATTAATACTGCCTGCTGAACTACAGTTAATTATGTCTGAATAACTCAGTTTGGGAAATGTTTTTAAATTTTTTATTTTACCAGTAGCAAGACGGTGAAGGGTGTTTACTGTAATTCCACTGTTCTGGCATTTTGTGATCATTGCCCTCAAAATGCCACTTGATAGCCTACACATGCTTACATCTAGATATTCTAATTTAGGAGCTATTTTAAATAATTTTCCCAGTAATGTTCCATCAATATCATTTAGATCATTGCCACGAATTTCAAGTTTTTGCAATTTTAACTTTATATTGGCATTGTCTAAATCATTAATAACTGCATTGAGTATAATACCTGTGACCAATGTGTGACTATTGAACACTGTATTCTTTATACACATGTAATCTAAATCACTTGCATATTTAAGGAGATGAATCAAGAATGTTGAACAAATTTTAAAATCAATCTCAAAGTAAGGAATATTATAATATTTTAAATGATTTTTTTCCATCCCAGCAGAAAGTAAATTGATCTCTTCCTTATCCCATGTTGAAATACATTTAAGTAAATTGTATGGATCACTCTCAATGAATACTGATACTTTAAGTAACACCAAGGTATGTACAACAATTTGGCTTCGCCTTTCCCCGCACCTACAGGTATTTATCAAAGATACTGCTGCTTCTTCAAGATTGTAATTACATACCTGTTTAAAATCATCCATGCACATCTTTAGGAATTTTAATAAATTAATTCCAAATGATTCTAGCATTTCCTTACTATGTGCTTTCATATCATTGGACATGTCATTATCCAATTTCAGTAGAATATCATCTTCATGCTCTTTCCTTAAATATGCTAAGCATTGTGGTATTGAGCGATAATGTGAGGTGCTGACTATTAACCATGGTTTCAGTAACTTATCAGCATCAGCTCCTAAAAATGCTACTGCAAACTTCCTTGTCATATTTAAATATTCATTACATCGTATGTCCTCATACTCAACCTTTGAACTCCCTTTCTGAATTTCTGTAGACAGGTACAGCCCTGCTAGCGCCTCTGACATTAATTTATGTGGTGGCGTGTACATCTCTCTTACATCCCCTGGATTAGCAGGGGTATCTTCATAAACAAACCTAAGTTCCAGTGCTAAATCTAATAATGTTTGATTCTGTGTCACATTTGACAAATCATATCTGTCAATAGACAATATATTTTTCTTTAGTCCTTCATACATACATTCTCCTAAAATTAAAAAGGCAGATTTATATATATCTTGAATTCTTTCAAAATTGGCAATAACAGTTTTATTGCCAGCCCTGTTTAAGTATTGCTTTAAAATACAACAAATGAGTTCCTTGAAAAGATCGGGCAAATATTCAGGAAGAACACGTTTTAGTCCCCATATGGTACAAATCTGAAGCAATAACAGTGGAGATGAGCACAATTTAAATGCTTGTTTGTGTTTACCACCCCAAAACAATGTACGCTCTGAATCAAGTCTAAACTCTTTTATTAAAGAATCACCAATTTCGATTTTACTGATTGAATGAAAATGATTTTGAATATACTTTTTTATGTTACTTGGACTGAATCCCATTACTTCAATATGTACATCACAACGATCAGCCAAATCAGCTGTGTTGTCAGGTCGAGATGTTATCACCACCGTGCTTTTTTGCAATTCACTTCTTTTAAATAGACCAATTGGGTCTTTAGCATTTTTGTTTAACTCATCATATCCATCTAACAAAATTACTATTTCATCATCATGTGTGACCAAGAACCTTTCAACTGAATCATCTGACAAACTGTTCTTAAAAATGATTGCTTTGCAATCAACTTTTTTCAATATTATGTCCAAGAACGTTTTACTTGCTTTAATTTCCCTGATATTTATCAGAAACAGTAATTTATCAGCAAAGACATGTTCACCATCAGTAGCCCACTGATGAGCAATATACTTAAGGAGGGTAGTCTTACCCATTCCTCCCTTTCCTGTTATTAATACTTTACATGAATCTGTTGACTTAATAACTCTTAATGCCTCTGTTAATGATGTGGGTCTACCTTCCTTTTTTGTACTTGTTGGCTTGTCTTCTTTTTTAGATTGCAGCAACTTGAGTTCAGTGAAAACTTGTGCAATATCTACTTTATGATTTTTATGCCAGATTGCTGGTGTCATACGATTCTCATCCCGATACAGTTCTTTCTGCATTTTCATCAGGGAATTTTTAATTATTATATCTGAAACAGTTAAAAAACTAATAATAATATTTCTATTATTATTTATATAGTTAAGTCCATGATACACTTCTACATTACATCATTTGGTTCATACTTCAATATCATTTCCCTATTTTACAAATACAGCATTTTTAATCTAGATGAATAGACAAATTATTTAATTGGAGGGGGAGGGGGGGAGTAGCCAGCCCATGGTCCCCTTCTCTTTTTTAAATTAAAAAAAGGTGGAAATTTTTTTTTTTTTTAAATGTTATTATTTTCATTATTATTAAAGTCTGAGAGTGCCATTTCATATGAACTATAAGAGGCATAAAATGATGTACATCTGCCACTAACTAATCTCTTCTGTGCAATAGTATTGTCTATGTATAATTTAGTTTTGTTAGGAAGTATTTGTATTAAAATGTCAATATAATGCTTAAATAAACACACCTTCATCTGACCATGAGCTTCTTGGTTGTTCTGATTGTCCTGAATTGTCTGTAAATGAAAAATATCATTGGGCATTATGAGCAAAACAGTAGTGTGCAATTATAATCATTTTGAGTATATGTATTTATTACGTACAATATTCTGTTGCAATCGATTTTCCATAAGCTACCAAACTATGCATAACAAAAGACTATTTTAACTATTAATATATTTAATAATACTGAATATTGTAGAGCAAGGTGGATAATTTTTATAGTGTCCTTTCCTCTTTGAAATGTGGGGTCACATGTTCTCCCTGTTCCCCCACCGATTAATGCCCAAACTTGCGTAGTAGTGGAACAAGCCTATATTAACTTCAAACATTTTCTAACATTGTGGTAGAAAAATTTATTTATTTTTAAAGTATTTTAGACATATTTTATAACATTGTGTTAGAAAATTAATTAAATGTAATATTATAAATTTATGTATTATAATATACATCCACGGACTTTAGAAAAATACTATTTGTAACAAATAAACTGATCGATGTGGGCACCTGAATTCTAGTCAGTTTACATTGTGATATTGGCGATATATTGGGACTAGCCAATAGTACCAGAGAAAACAAGAAACCCTGCTGTAAAGAAGTTTCTGAAATAGCGCAATTTTATTTACATTAAACTTGGTTGTTGGTGACGCTGTCCAGTATGAAAAAAAATTAATAAGGGACTTGGAGCAAGTCTTTATTTTGATGTTTGTTAAAAATTAACTGTTGTTTCAGAAACTAACTATAGTTTACAAGTATATTGAAAATAATTATTGTGATGTAAAGAAGTAAATAAATCCTTGTTAAAGTGATTGAGTGACACATTATTAGTATTAAATGTTTAGATGTCATCAGTTAGTTGAGTTCTCTAACTTAATGTATATATGTTGTTAATTATAAGAAATAACAGAAAATATCAAGTACTATAGGTTTCAACCACTTAGAACGGTGTCTCTCAGGCTCCAATGTTACCCCTAACTCCCTAAAATGTCTAGATACTGTAGATTGCAACATTACAGAATTGGTAAGCTGGTATTGGAAATAAAATCATTAAATAATCATCATACTCACCATCTCTTTCCAAATTCTGAAGAAATGATGACAAGTTATTTTCTGAAACAATACCCTTACTTTCAAGATATGTGATCAGTTTCCATGAATTAAAACAGAAGTCATCTGGAACTTCGTACATCTGACCAATCCTTTGAATATCTATGGTAGATAAGTCTTTTCCAAGAGCAACAAGATGTTGACGATGTGCTGAAAATCGAGTGATCTTCACTTCATCTGGATATGTGTCATACGCCTTAATTATGTCCTTCAAATACCTTAATCCAGTTACTTCAATCGTTTCAAATAAAACTGAAATGTCTGTTGCTTTCAAAATGTCGGCGACTCTTAGTATTTGGAATAAATCAAATGCAGATTTAGCTTCCTCCAATTCTGCTTTAAACTCAGCAAGATCTTTGTACAGAACCCTCAACATGTCAATATACTTTTCACTTTTTACGCTGATTGCATCGGATATTCTCACAAGCAGTTGATTAAAAACTATTTAAAGAAAATAGAGTCACTAAAAGATTAACTAAAATAAATCCCCTAAACTCTCTTGATCTCAGCTAGTCAGAGGATGTTACATTCACAATATCTTTTTATAACATTGATCAATTCTAAAATTCTGTTGATAAAAGGCATAAAGAACCTACATGATACTGGCTGATGTTGCAGTGGTTCTGTTTATTGTTTTATAGTACAAATTCTCAAGATTTACAGCATTCACTTTCAAAAGAAGCCACATCCCCAATTATTTAAATTGCAAAATTAGCCTTACACAAAAGCCCATTTTTTATACCAGTGTATACTGTAAGCGCTATAACTATCCGCTATAACTCTCGTGTAGACATACGATAAAATTTGATGCGACTGTGACTGGATTTCTGATTAACTTGCATCGCATAGGATTGATCGTGAGAACATGGCTAACGAAACCTAATCATTGAGAATTATGCCATTTTAGAATTCCAATCACTGTAAAAATTGAGTATGGAAAAAATAACAAATGGACAACAAATATTTATTTCTTTACATGGACTGTATTAACTGGCATTAAATCACTTTAACTGCTGACTAAACCAAGTAGTTTTTAAATATTTTGTTTGTTAGAAATGCATGTACAGTGAATGCTATCTTCAAACCATAGGCTTGTATTCGAGATGGACTTCTTTTTGAGGCTACTTCTGCAAACTAAAAAAAGGGGGGGGGGTTTCCATTCAAGGTGAGTTTATTCTCGAGATAAAACCCATTGGGCTTGTATTTAAGGTTTTAGGGAATTGTAAACCACTAAAGAACTATCTCAATTAAAGAAAGTAGAGATTTTAAATAATATCATATCCTACAAGCATGAATATTTAAATGTGATATTCTATATTTATTACTAACCTTCATTTACTTTATTCTCATTCAAATGTTGAAGAAATGATGACATGCTGTCTTCTGTTAAAACAGATGTATCTTCAAGATGTTGAATCAGTTTCCATGGACTAGAAAAATTGCCTTCATATAACTGACTAACTTTCTGGAGATCTTTAACTGAAAAGTCTTTTCCCAGAGCAACAACCTGTTGACGATGTGGTAAAAACCGAGTGATCTTCACTTCATCAGGATATGTCTCATATGTCTTGATTATCTCTATCAAATATTTCAATCCAGTTAGTTCAATTGTTTCAAACAAAACTGAAATGTCCGTTGGCTTCAAAATGCCAGGTGCTATTAACAATTGAAATAAATCAAATGCACACTTAGCTTTCTCCAAATCTGATTTAACATTTGCAAGATCTCTGTACAGAACCCTCAACAGGTCTACATACTTTTCACCTTTCTTGCTGATTGCATCAGAAAGTTGCACCAGCATCGATGAGAACTCTGTGGGGAAATTTAAATGATAAAAATAATAATTGTAATGTATAAAATTAAAAAACAGTTTAATAGTATATTGTTAATAATTAATTTTTAGCACTTGAATACATTAGAGGTTATCAAATTCTCCCTATAAACATAAACCTGTTCTGCATGTCCAAATTTCACATGCAAATGATAAAAGGTCACATACTGTAGGGCGAGACATTCTCAAAATAAAATTTAGTATACTGTATATATATATAAGTATACTGAGCAAGATGTATAGAATTCGGTCTTCCTACTACATAAATGTATACACCAGGCTTTAAAATAACTAAAAATCTTCAATTATGATTAATCCAGGATTTATTTATCATGCAAATGGTTGTATTATTAAAGCAATAATTTGAAAACATGTAGAATACATATTATGTTGAATGTACTGTATGTATGCACAGCTTGGAAAGATGCCAGGGCTGAATTTTGCATTTATTAATGAGTGATGATAATGAAGCACCACTTTCTGATTACTTTTGTGCATGATGACTATGTGTGTGAAGTAGCATTGCAGGCCTATATATTGCCAACTATCATTATCAATATTTTACCTGTTTCCATCATCCTTGTATAATATTACTCCAAATGTTGAGCTTCACAAACTTTCACACTAAAATAGATTTAATAACACAATATTATTTCTTTTCAGTTCGCACTAATATAACTCTGCAATATGCATGTAGAGTAATCAAGATAGGTAGAAAATTTATGTGAAAATGAAAATTACATCACCACTGACTTAAAATAGCTAATATTCTAGGCCATGTGGAAATTGTGTTACTTTCTGACCATTTTACAGTCACCAATAAGGCATCTCCCCAAGATATATGGCGAGTACACACAGCATTGTATGAGAATTGTACAGGATGTTAGCTCAGTGACAGATGCCATCCGCTGATATTCAGTGGCAGTCTGATAACTGGTGCAGTGTGTAACCGAGCTTTGGATTATGAAAGAATGCCTGGTTATCTATACTCAGAACCCATAGAAATTAATGTCTATGGGCCCGTTCGAGCGAAAAAATATCCGTGCGATTTACCAGTGAATTAACTGGTAAATCGCACGGATATTTAATATATTAAATATATAATTCACCGGTACACAGTTTCTAAAACCACTCGGACAATAGTCTGATTACTTTACCATCTGGATTATCTACGACAATTTTGACCACCAAATTGCTGGGTAGAATACCGTGTATGGAATGACCATGGAGCCGGAGGCGATGATGAATCAACCTTAATTGTTTGTCCAAAAGTTTTATCCACAGCCCAGCGCGAAATTCAACAGGTTATGGCCCAGGTGTGGTTGCAGCTCTCCTTCGCCTCCCCACAAATGCACGACCAAATCTAAATTTAGTAGCATAACATGCGATCGATTTGTAGATTTGCCATTATTCGGAGAAATAAACTTGAATAAACTAGCCTACGTACAGATTGTAAACTAAAAACTCCCATTATAAGTTACTGAACTACATTATTGTTCCACAGTGCAGCGCTGTGTGTACGTGGGCCTGTTATAGCATGGAGGAATAAAGTAGACCCTCCATGGTTATAGCAGCAGTAGCAAGTAAACAAAGAATGGGTTATTGACCATGGGATAATTTGAAATTTACTTCAGGAGTAGTTTCGTTACACGTATTTACCGTGAGCTAAAACTTGCTCGAACAGTCGACCACCCGCTGAGTGCTCAGCGCGATTACCCGGTGAAATAAACAGAATACGTTTGGGCGTTTTTGCTCGAACGGGCCATATGTAATGAATTTACAGAAAAGAGAAAAATTCTAGATTGTGACCCATGAAGTTTCTCTATTCTCTTAGCAGGCAAACATGTTCTAAATTATTACTTACCTAGTGATTTAGATGATAGATATTATCAAAATCCCCCCCCCAACTCTGCCTCAATGACCAATCTCCACAAGCCTGAATGAATTCACATTTCAGCTCACACTTTAGTTGAATACATGGCTGCGTCAAATGGTTTGCTATAAAATCAATTACAAGATTTCAAATAAAATAAAGTTATTATGTAGCAAGTGGTGCATAATATATTATGCACTGACTACAGTACACATTCCAGACAGCTGATTGGTTGAAAGTTGGGCAATAGTTCTAGCCAGGCCCTAATAGCCAGTCAATTGTCTTTGTGTTTTTTCCTTGCAGAGTGTTTCAGTCGTTTTCTGCCACACTATAAAAGAGGTATGAACGGGCAAAGTTGAGCACAAAAAATTCCAGTTACAGAAGAAGATATGGCACGTATTCCAAAATCTCTGAATTTTTTAAAACCGAAAGGTCTGCTGATTAACCTCAGATAAGAAAGTACAGTATAATAAATACTCCAAGTATTGAAATGCACGCCATCGTGTTGGGATGGCGTTCATTTCAATACTTGAAGTATGTATTTTACTTTCTTCTCTGAATTTTTATCACAGAAGATTTTCAGGATTTATAATGTTATACTTTTGCAACAGGGTATGAACCCTGGTACTATGGTACTGCAATATGGCGCTGAGAAAAAATACTCAATGAGGGGGTCAAATTGAATCTATAAATCTGGATAAACGTCAATGCCAGTACATCAGGCAACCAAGAAAACAATTTTTTCATTTTTAATATGGAAAAATGTGTGGTGCATATATATAATAGGCAAAATTGTTAAGAAAAAAAAAAACCACAACACTGCAACATATTGTACAATATTTAACAAATATTTACTAGGATATTAATTAGATCATAATTCAAATTATAGCCAGAAGCTGCACTATACCTCTCGACTTTGTCTTAAGACATAGTAGTAGTACAGCCCCCAGATCAACAGAGGCTATAATTTAAACCATGTTGCTCAATCCAGTATATGTTTGTATATCGTAGATGTCTTCTCATATAGTGCTTAAAAAAAAAAAAAAAAAAAAAAAAAAATTGAAATATCCAGTAGATAAAGAGTGATGAGGTACTAACTGTAAAATCAAGAAAATGGAAGTGGATAAGGAATATAACTTATTTAAAGTAAGGTCTGTAATTTATTACGAATACGCCTTTTTCACGAATCGGTAGACATCTTGAAGTGATGACAAACATTGCGAATCAGCGGTGCGTAACCAACAGAAATAAGATAAGCTTTTGGGCGGATTTTTTGACATCATGTTATTTAAAAAATCATAACTCTATAACGGGGCGTCGTATCCAAAAAAAATGTTCAGCAAAATGTTCTTAAAAGACTAGTCTACAACACTATATGATTGAAAAAAAATTGAAAAATTTTTTTGACCTCTGAAATCAAGATTGAAAAATAAAAGCATATCTCAGTAGTGTATTAAAATAGGTATATGCATTACAGTGCTGTAGTACTACTAATACTCTGAACTAGCATTGTTTTAGTTACCATATGAGAGTTTCCTGTGTTAAGAACATGATTTACTATACTATGCCTCTTTATAAAACATAACTTGGGCGCTAATGCACTTTAGTACTGTAACACTTCTATCTTTAAAACTTGTCTTTTTACCTACTGTGTGCAATACCTAACAATATCTTACGGTGTTCCTTCATTCAGATTCTGCTTAATAACATCGGTTTTTAGCATTTTATTACTAAAAACCACTGCCTATGGCTCCATCCGTCATCTCAAATGGCGAATTGGCGATCGAGCCTAATGCTGTTGCCAGAATTCAAACTTTATGATTTGGTGTTGCCAGAATTAGTATATCAAAATGAAGCTTTAGATATTCTGAACTTATTGTAGAGCGCAAGACTCCACTAAAACAGTATGACAATTTCGATGGCTCGACATCT